TATGTAAACTCATTTTAGATGCTCTGGAAAACTTTGTTGTCATTTTCTTTAAACTGTTACTCTTTGTTGCAGTTTCAAATAAGTAACATCTGTTTCATCCTTTTCACCTAGGCAATTATTTGATTTAATGGACCCTGTATGCATGAAAACACTCTTGTGATTAATATTATGGTGTCATATTTTTGAAAGCTAGCTATCAGTAAATTTCCATTTCTGAGTGTCTGAAAGAGCTACAGAAAATTGAGGGCATTGAAACATGGAAGAAAGCAGTAACGTGATGTTTATACAGGCAACATATCTTCTTCAGTTCCTGAAGTTTGAACACAAAAGCAACCTGGCAATTTCAATTTCCTTCTTCCAGCTTCAATAAATTAAATAAAGATCAGCTCCAGAGAAGCTCTATGCATATGAGGAAGAACAGATATTTTCCTCTATATCTAGACAATTAAAGAGACTTTTTAACAAAAAGATGGAAAGTTGCCAACTCATGCTAGATGCACACACACAGAGGGAGGAGACTAACCAAATATTGCACAACAGCTCTCTTGAAACTGAGCATCTAACTGTATGCCAAGCAGAAGAGTAGCACTGCATAAACATATGAGTGGAACTCCAGGTGGAAGCATGACAAGTCTCAGTGTCACTCATACTGCATAAGTGTGTAAGACAATATGTCTTACACTTACTAGAGCAAGACTCTTCAGAAAGCTAAGATTATTAAACCTGGATGCTGCCAGCCTTTACATGTTACAAAAGCTCTTGAAAAGAAAGGAATACTCCTCACAGCCATTCTCAAAATCTACAGGTAACGCAAGCGATTAAAAAGATAAAATAAAAGGGATTAGACAAAGCCAATTCAAACATACATTTTTATGTGCCAGAACTTCCAGAGTTATCAAGCACAGCATTACACAGAGACCTGTTTCAGCTATACATGGAACTTCCAACAGTTTAATCAAATTAATTTAAAACAATAAACAAACACTGACTGGCTTAGAAGTGGCTTATTTTTGTTGACTTGATACAGTTTAATAGACTTACAATTAACAAAAGCATCACCTCCACCAGTCAGTTTAAATACAATGTCAAAGTTTATGCAACACTTCCTAAGTAGTGTTAAGAAAACAGTAAGTCAACAATAATGAACGTTTTTTATTCTACTGTACCAGTATGAGTGTACTCAAAGCAACAAAACACAGCTTATGTATAATGGAAATAACTTATGAAAGTGTTCCCTTTAAATTATATAATTTGTTTTGATGTAGCACATACATAGCAGCAAGCACACAATGTTTTATGACAACATCCTAATTAGGAGTTGGGAATGTTTGGCCATGTGACTTGAATGCCTAAAACTCAGTCATAAGAATCAAAGCCATTTATAGCCTGTACTACTGGTTTGTAATTTTTGATACCAGAAAAAAGTAACTGTATCCTACTGACTTTGAAAACTGCTGCTCTAGAGTGCTGTGCTCTATTAGCAGACCCCTACATTCTTGTCTTGGTTTTGGTTAGGATAGAGCTAACTTTCTTCCTAGTAGCTGGGATAGTGCTGTGTTTTGGGTTCATTATGAGAAGAATGTTGGTAACACTGATGTTTTCAGTTGTTGCTAAATAATGTTTAGACTAAAGTCAAGGATTTTTCAGCCTCTCATGCCCAGCCAGCAAGAAGGCTGGAGGGGCACAAGAAGTTGGGAGGGGACACAGCCAGGGCAGCTGACCCAAACTGGCCAGAAGGGTATTCCAGACCATGTGACATCATGTCCAGTATATAAACTGGGGGGAGTGGGGCTGGGAGGGATCACCGCTAGGGGACTAACTGGGTGTCGGTTGGCAGGTGGTGAGCAATTGTATTGTGCATCACTTGTTTTGTGTATTCCAATTCTATTATTATTATTATTATTATTGTAACGTTATTTTCATTATTAGTTTCTTCCTTTCTGTTCTATTAAACTGTTCTTATCTCAACCCACGAGTTTTAGGTTTTTTTCCGATTCTCTTCCCCATGCCACTGGGGAGGGGGAGGGGAGTGAGTGAGCAGCTCTGTGGTACTTAGTTGCTGGCTGGGGTTAAACCACGACAATTCTTCAAGTGATAGTAAAATTTTTCAAGTGACAGTACAGGTCTCTGTACTTCAACTTTACACATCCTGTAAATAGTCTTGTTTATCTCTCAGTGACCTCTTAGAGGCAGTCAACAGATGGCAGGCCCATAAAACATCCATTTTTCTTACATTCTCTAACAAAAAAACAAACAAAAAATATACAACTATTCAAACACTTAAAAGCAGTACAAGATGAAAGTCTCATGATAAGCTTCAAGACTATTACAACAAAGAAGCTAAGATTTGATTTGTTTACATGACCACTTTTAGGAAGTTCTTAAAAGACAGCAGCCTAAATAGTGTGGAAGAAATCGATACACATTCACATATGTCACTCCCTTTTCTGAAGAAATCAGTTAAGTCCCTCAAGTTTCTGATGTCTTTTCCTATCAGTTACAGCAAATTAGCAAATCAAGAGAGAACATCCTACAGCTCAAGATCCAGACTTCCATTTCCAATGCACAATTTCAGCTCCAAATTGATGACAACATGTACATCAAATAATTAAATATTAATTATGTTTTGGATTAATTTTCACATCAGTGCTTTAGCAAGTATAATTATCCCATTCCATAGGTGACAAAATCATCTTGCCCTAGAAGGCCAAGGCAAAAGCAAGAAACAGAAGACAATTCTTCTGAAGTTTTACACAAAACCACCTTTCTTTCTCCTTTCGGATTTCTCGTCATTATTTTCAGTCATTATGCATTCAGTGCATTTTAACAGTAATTTTCTAGTTTCCATCTTAAGTTTCTCACCACATTTCAAAGCATATATAGGTTGTATCCCAAGTCTCCCAAAGCACTGCAGTAACAATCTGAACAACAACCTATTCTGAGAATTTAGTAGAAATGGAGAAGCCTAATGATTCAAAATGCACAAACCTATAAATCATCCTTGGTTCTAAGGATATATAGAAACTCAATACTTTCTGAGTTTAAAAATCTGTCAATATTTAGACACTACAGTTAATCCTGAAGGATATCTACCCACAACAGCAAAGAAGGAACAGTCCATATTCCTTTTTATTTTGCTTCTTCAGAAAATAAAACCCTGTCCATGGTATTACAAAGGTTTTTCAGTCAAGTTTTACAATTGTAAGACCCTGCCTAATGTCTTTGTTGTCACTGCGAGACAAACAAGAATATACTTGCTGTCCTACTTTGTGTCATTTTTGGAGGTAGGAGAAAACCAGAAGAAAACCTCCTTCTCCTGGCACTCATTGCTGACCCGCACTAGGAGTTTTGCCCACAGAGCTATAAGGCAGAGACCTTGTAGAGCAGAAAGAGAGAATGGGAAGTTTGGGTAGACGTCTACTACCTCATATTTGCTGGTAGCATTTATGAAGACACAGACAGGGAAACAGAATGTATGGGAATGGTCCACTGCCTTCAGTGATTTAACAAAATTATTGACTTATTAACAAAATACCACTGATCAGACAAACAGTTAAATGCACATACCATAGTACTTAACATAAATAGAAAAGTGTTTGATTTCAGTTAAGATAGCTGACTAAAAAACTTCTATTTTACTTCAACCTTAGGAGATAGTAACTTCTCCAATGAAAGGGTGACTTCTTATATTAATTTAAAACTTACTTTTAAGAAAGGTAAAAAACCCTCCACATTAGTTTAATACTGATCTCCCACACTGAGGCTTCAAATTAAGCAGATTTGTATGCCAAGAGAGCAAATCTAATACCTTGCATCATTAAATTTTAATATTCTGTTAAAACAAAACTTAAAGAGTAAAAATTAAACACAATGCTGCAAACAAAACATGAAACCTGGCTTGAACTATGCTTTATGTTCAAGAATAGTATATTGCATTTGTGAAATTAGTTTTCCCTAAACATTAAGCATAACTGTTGCTTACGCAGAAAAAGCAGATGTCTAAAAGATATTTTTCCTTTTTTTTTTGTTTTTGTTTCAGTCTCAACAAATAACCATTTTTATGTTTTCCCTATTAGTTGGTAGAGATGCACATTAAAAATAAAACGTGCAAAGAAGTAGCAACATTGTAAACAGCCGGATGACTAGAAGAACGCTTCCTTTCAACGTTTCAGACCAGCAACAAGTTTCACCTCCTGCGAGGCTCAGTAATAACCCCGAACCCACGTTTTAATTTTTTCTCCATAAATAGCTACCTCCTACACTAAACAGGTATATCTGCGCAGAGACGACTGGTAAGCTGCGTTTCTAAAACAGACCGGAGAGTCTGTTGTTTCCCCAGCTGGCCGCTGCTCAGGCTGTGTACCTTCTGACATGCAGACAGAGACGAGTTTATCGGTACAACAGCACGGAGCTCCGAGGCGCCGCTGCGCGTTTGCGCGGTACAACTCGTTAAGCTGTTAGAGCCGGTGCCGTTCCCCCACCGACTGCACCGTCGGGGAGGCTTGCCGGAGAGAGATCGGACCGCAGCCCAGGCCACCTCCACGCACCGCCGTGCCCGCGAGAGCGAGACCCCCCCAGCGCAGCCTCTCCCGCCCGTGCCCGCGCGTCCCTCGCCCCAGCGCCCCCGCGGCGACCGGCCGTCCCTC